AACGACCTGCTCTTGAGGGAAATTATTGGCGCTTGGATGAGATATTGAAGAGAAAAGCTGAACAAGGAGTGAAGATATTCATATTACTGTACAAAGAAATGGAAATGGCACTCGGACTAAACAGTATATACACCAAACGAACTCTTCAAGGACTTCATGAAAATATCAAAGTTATGAGACACCCGGATCACTATCCGTCAACTGGAACATTTTTCTGGGCCCACCACGAAAAACTTCTTGTCATTGATCAACTAATTTCCTTCGTTGGAGGAGTGGATCTTTGTTTCGGAAGATGGGATGATCATCGGCATGTTCTCACTGATCTTGGCTCTGTTCAATACTCTGGTGCACATCAAGTCAGCACAAACATGGCTAGTGGATTGAGAAGTTTGATGACTGCTCCTTTGACTCTTTCGCCTTTGGGACTCGAAGAGCATGAAAAGGTGACACCTAGAAATGAAAAGGGAGAGAGGAATGGAACAGTGAAACACGTGTCAGCTGAAGAGATTGATGAGCCGGAAGAAGTGACTGAAAGGACACAAGAAACAGTGATTGATGACGGTGAGGAGAACGTATCGGAAGATCCAGAGGTCAAAAAAATCATCGAGGAAACTGTTTTCACTGATAGAGAAACGGGAGGAGTAAAGGTTCGAACTCTCAATAAATTCCCGGTTGATGAAGTAACTAGACACTCAAGCCCTGCTGATCCACAAAAGAATTGGAAAGAAACGAAGACTACTGTAGTTGAATCCACATCTTCTGGTGGAATGACAACAAAGACAACTACAACCACCACCACAGTAAAAGTAGTGAAAGATAATACTATGGAGAAAGAAAAAAACAAAAAAGATCTTCGTCGAGCCGTTACTTCGTTGGATAGACAACGGAAACACGTTCCACGAGAGATTCTTGATAAGGCTGGACCAGCTCCGTCGATGCTCGAAAAGGCTGCGAAAAGTGGAATGGACTTCGCCCAGGCCGCTGAAAAGTACAAAGAATATGTGGAAAGTGGAGCAGTTCAAAAGGAGAAGCATCGGGCCCAAACTCCACCGAATCGTCGAAAAGCCAAGAAAGATTCGCGGATCACAAGAGCAGTTGGAAACTGGAAAAGTAATCGAGCAAAACGGAAGTGGAAGCAAATGCTCGAGAGTGATGAGGCAACAATGGGTTATGAGTTGGATTGGTTGAGATTGAGAGAAATGGACGAGAAAGGAGACGGAGATGATCAACTTGATGGAGGTGTTAAATTGTGGTATGGAAAAGATTATGTCAATTATATAGCCAAGGATTTCGTTGAAGTTGATATGCCATTCCATGGTAATCTTATTTTTAAATGTTTATTTTTTGTTTTATCGGAAATTTCAGATTTCATCGATCGCGGAACGACGCCTAGAATGCCATGGCATGACATCCATTCTGTCACTTTTGGAGCTCCAGCGCGCGATGTGGCTCGTCATTTCATTCAAAGATGGAACGCCACCAAAACGGAAAAATTAAAGGTGAGTAGTTCAATCAGAGCCATCTCTTGCAAATGTTCCTTTTACAGGATGACAACAACTACCCGTATCTCCTCCCGAAGAGTTACGAAAACGTCCGAGTTCCGCGTGTTTTCAAAACAGCCAATGCATCGGAAATGGTGAATGTGCAGGTTCTCCGATCGTTCTCCAAGTGGTCCGGATTGATAAGACAAACAGAAGACTCTATACAGATGGCCTATCTTTCACTGATTGCAAATTCAAAAGTATGTATAGTTTTACTTTATCCATTCTCAACAGTTCCTCACTTCAGCACTATATCTATATTGAAAATCAGTTCTTCGTTTCGATGATCGACTCAGTTGATGTAACAAACGAAGTTTGCAAGGTTCTATACAACCGAATCGTTCGTGCTTACAAGTTCGTTATTAACTTTCAGAAACCAGTAATTCGGCCATTCTTTCAGAGAGAAAGAGAATTTCCGTGTCTACATCATGATTCCGCTTCTTCCTGGATTCGAAGGAGATGTTGGAGCTCCAGGTGGATCATCTCTACAGGCTGTTCTCCATTGGACATATCGATCGCTCAGTCAAGGACCTAACTCTTTGATTCAACGACTGAAGGCTGTTATGCCGGATCCATTCAAATATATCCATGTTGGATCACTAAGAACCTACGACCAACTTGGACAAAAACTGGTAAGTGTTTTATCTGATATCTGATAGTTCGAGCTTTTCTATCGTTAGTCTGGAAAAATGTATAGTTTTTAATAGCACTTCTCCATATAAGCAGCATATTTACATAGAAACAAGAATCATTCAAACAAACACTATCGCGTCTGGCGAATCGTAAAATCGTGGCGTTAGTCGCTCTCTGTTTCTCTATGTCTCCTTGCATTCTTTCAGGTATCCGAACTGATCTACATTCACTGTAAGCTGTTGATCGTAGACGATGAGACAGTTATTATTGGATCAGCAAATATTAATGATAGATCACAGGTAATCAATTTAAAAACAAAAGCATAAGTAGATTATTTTCGGAAGAAGCAAATGTAGACTGCGAACAGAATCGCTGGAATCCAGAAAAGGAAGCATAAAATGATGTCGATTACCACATTGACGTCGCATTGCTTTGTGTGCCACCAGATAGCTAGGGGCTGAAAAAATTCCTTTGAAATGACCGGATTTTTTGTACTGTTTTAGTCTAGGCCAATCCTTTAAAAAAGGTTTCTGGAAAAGAAATGTGAGCTACCGTAGCCGAAAAACACAAATGTTACGGATTTTTCTATAGGTTCAATTTTTAGACTACGGTAGTTTTCGTTTCCTTTTTTTGGGCTCTCCATTTTTAGTAACTAAAATCATTACCGGCAAGAAGATGCAGAGAATAATCTCGACGATCATATCAGCGTCAGCAGACATGACTTAGTAATTTAAAAGCAGAATGAATAGAAGCAAAAATTTGATAAATTTCTCCCTCACACTTCCTCTTGCCTTATTTATATACGGTCTAGTCATATTCTCTTCCTCGCCTCTATTTTCAAACGATAAATAAATATCATGATTTCCTCCGCCCAGCATTTTTGGTGGTCTCTTATCATCCGGTTTGATGATTCAGATGACATTTTTGCACTCAATGTATGCACAAAATGATCGTTCAGTTCTGAGGAATGGACTGAGGAATAGTTGTTGTAAAGCGCATTTCATTGACATCAAAAATTCATATCATCAACATTTTACAGTGCGGAAATCGAGATTCTGAAGTATGTTGTGTTTACACGGACGTTGTCAAAGAACGATCGGTTATGGATGGAAAACCGTATGAGGCAGGAAGGTTTGCAAAAAGTCTCCGGATGCAATGCATGAGGGAACATCTTGGACTCCTTCCGGATTCTCGACGCAAAGCCAAGTTCACATATGCAGTTTCTTGTGATGACCCAGTTGCTGACAGTTTCTTTGTGGATGTCTGGCAAGCTACCGCGAAGAGTAACGCAGAAATTTACGAAGAAGTCTTCCGTTCGTACCCAACAGACTACGTGGAAACATTCGAAGAGTTCCAAAAGTGGACTTCACAGATTCCTATGTCCGAATACGCTCCACAACAGGCCGAGGAAAGAATTCGCGATCTTAAAGGTATTATCTTTGCTCTCGGAGACAATGTATAATTTGCTCTTTCCTGATAACTCTTATCAACACAAAAATGAACTTTTTGTTAGAAAGGAATTGATGATTTCATTCATAGAAAATGTCAGTAATAGAAATGCATATTTAAAGTTTTTTCAGGTGTCCTAGTTGATTTCCCGTTGAACTTCCTCTGCAGAGCCGTTCTCACTCCAGGAATAACATCGAAAGAAGGACTTGTTCCCAGTGCTGTCTTCACCTAAAAGTTTCGTCTCAATTTTATGAATTTCGCCTGCTTTTTTGCTCGTTGCCAATTGTGATTATTCAAAAGTTTTCAGCTATTTTTCTTGTGTATCTGCCGGTTGTTTTTTCTTTCAATTAATGGCAGCTTGATTTTTGCCCAGCCTCTTTTGCCTGTGAAATATTTTTTTTCTTTCCGATGATTAGTTCAAGTCACTAACCTTCCCAGTAGAATCCTTTTCAATTCTCTTTTCCATGTTTCAGAATATGATGAAAATATTGCTTGTGTGCCAAGAAACGAATTCTGCTCTCGAAATGTCTATTTTATGCCTAGTTAATGATTAATTACTTATTAAATAAATTTTTATCTTCTAATCTTTCTTCCCGTTTACCCCATCATCAAGATTCGTCAGACATCGAATTTTATTTGGACATAGAAATTAGAGAATTACAGTAAATATTGTTTATTGAAGAAGATCTTTCAGAAAAAAAACTGAAAATGGGGGATGATAAAGGGAAGAAAAGTAAGATTTACAAACGAAAAAAAGCAATTCCACATTTGTTGGTCTTCCAGAATTCGAAATGCCATCTCCACCAAAGCCACTATCCTTCGAAATGCCTAAACCACCAGTTCTTCAGCCAAATATTGCTGCTCTTCTTCAGAAAACTAATCCAGGAAATAAGGAGCAAGGTCGAAATGTGCCGTTCAATCAACCAGTACCACCTGTTTTGAACCCTACCGTCAACACAGTGAATCCATTCGCCCCAAGACCAAAATCAGTATCACCTAATCCTTCGAAAGAGGAGATACCCGTGGCATCTGCAACAAAATATATGAAACCGAAATCCCCAATTCCACCCGAGAACTCTGACCAAGAACAAAATGAAACTAAAATAGAACCTGCTCTCGAGAAACCAACAACATTGAAAACGACTGCCCCAACTACAGAAATCCCAATTACGCCGATGGTAGAGGAAACTAAAGAAGTTTGTGAAAACTAATGGAAAAACTGTAGAAGAGCCCTTTCCAATTTGACCAAATTTTTATCGAATCCTGGATTTTTCGGAATGTCAAAAAGAGCTTCAAGTTTTTAGATTTTTGGAATATTCCGAATTTGAAAATTTACTGAAATTCACATTTTAAAGCAAAAATCTCATTTTGCCATCCCAAAAGCGCCGAAAATTGGGGGAAAATTGACAAAAAATTTTGAAAACGCAAAAAAGTAATTCCACTCGAGTCCCACAAGTGAACTCTTCACATGCAGCTTTGATATACTGTAGTTCAAAAATCTCTAATTCCAAAAAACAACTTCGAAAAAATTCCTGAATATCCTTCCCAGCATCCCTTGTCGAATTCCCAAAAACTAACAAACATTTTAGATCACAATATGCTTAAAATTATGTTCAGTCTATGATTTTTCGATATCTTTCACAGTGTGCACAGGGACCAAAAAAAATTGGCTCAAAATTGATAGTTAGGGGCCCTTTTATTGCAGGTTTTGTGGTAATCAGTTTTGTGACAACCATTCTCGTTTCAGATAACCTCTCCGGCAAAGGTAGAAGTGTCCAGTCACGCTGAGAACTCGAAACAAGATGGATCAGAATCAAATACTGTATTTACGGATAGAGTGGACATGAGCGGAGGTTTAATGAGCTGGTTGACGAAGACTGTAACCGAAAGTAAACTGTTGAGTGACGTGGCTGAGAAGGCGAAAGCTGGAGTGGAAACTGTCATGACTACTCTGGATCCCGGAATGAAGCCGTTCCTAGCGGAGCATGGAGTGGTAAGAAGATCAAATGAAACTCTAGGGATTGATTTCATTCAGATCGAGTTCGCATTGTTCAACTGTGACGCCGATATGCTCACTGTCGCATCTGACGCATTCACACGTGCAGGTGCTATGGCAATCTGTCGAGGTCTCTCTTTCGATGAAACTAATGTGATTGCCAACTTCAGACCGTTGGTATCTGGAGAACAGAAAGCTCGAAAACTATGCGAAGCTAAAATCGAAGCAGCGCGTAAAACAAAGAAGGCAAAAGAAGAAGCAGCAATCGTCGTTGTACAACCGTTTCTTTTAGAAATATCTGGAAGGTAGGGTTGGGAAAAGTTCTCGAAAAAGAAACTAGATTTCCAGACACTACTCCACATGTAAAGTAATGCTGCACCATTCCTCTATTTATTTCGACGCTATATCACAACTTCTAGAAGTACCAGAATCGATAGTAGAAGCAATCCAAAGATTAGCTAAACTAGAAGGTTTACCCGAGGACGAATTTTCAAGCTCTGTATCACAAGCTATCAAAAATGTAACACATTTTTGGTTCATTAATAAATCTCAAATGCTTTGTTTGCAGGTTTACAAGACATCTGTCAGCTCTTGGGAGCCGGGAAGTCTTGCTCCATATGACTCCAAAGAGCTTCTGTCTGTTGCCTTCTCATCTGTTTCGCAACAACTTCTGCGCAACTTGGCTCCAGTTAACTGAATCAAATTGATTGCATTTGCCCCTTTCCTCCATCTGTACTATTAGAATCTTTGTTTGGGTGGTCTTATCGTGCACATAGAGACATTTTTATTGTGATGAAGATTTTTTTTTTCTTATAATGTAAATAACTTCCTAACTTTAATTGAATGAGTCAACCGATAATAATACAAAATGATGCATTTAAAACTGGGTAGTAAAATGTTTGTTGTAAATAAATTGAATGGCATTAAATATCTAAACTTGTATTGATTGCTTTTATGAGCCACATATGTCAATTGACCTGCCCTTGTCTCCAGATGCGTTTGTATAGAGTGCAGACCTTAGACAGTGTGACAAACAAAGAGACGCAGAGCAAAGGACGCATTTGCGCGTCATGGTGCGCGCACATAATAGCAGATGAAAAAAGCGCTAGACAACCAACGTTCAAATTCATCATCTTTTTCTCTCGTACAGATCTCGTTTTTTCTTTGTCTCCCTTAAATAATCTTATCTAGTTTTCCAGTTTTTGCTGTAAATCCTCCAATCCTTTGTAGTTTCAATTTTAGATTAGACAAAAATGACTGACTCCCCATCGCCGATCGATTCATCGTTCGACGCTTCAGATGTTGCCACACCGTGCACTGTAATCGCAGCGAAAAGTAGCATTAGAAATTTTCGAGATCTTGAAGAGGGAGATGATTTTGATGATGATGATGATGGTATTGAAGATCAAACAGATTATACAGAATCCTTTCCACAACCAGAAGACCGGGCGTTGGATGGTGAAGATCCATCTAACATTTACGTAGATGATCTCTCGAAAGAGTTCAGTGGATGCGCTTCATCGGTTATGGAACCACTTCCAAAGCCTCTTACATTTGCCAGAACAATGACAAAGGTAATTTCATGAAAAGCACACGATAACTAAAAATTCAAATGGAAAATTAAAAATATCACAACACTCAAGTGAGAATGAGAGAATGTGAAACCTGTTTTTCTAATTTCTGTAAGATGTTTATCTGAAAGTCTGAAAATAATAATAGCCATTTTCAACAGAGGTGCCATCAAATCACATTCGATTTCCAGACTAGAAAATTCTTTTACACTTTATCGACCATTGTATTCATAAAAATTTCAGGTATTCTATCATCTGGATAATGATCCTGTTCCGTACACAATTGATGTCCATGTTCCACCTGATTGCATGACTTTACGAGATGTGAAGAGAAAACTTCCTAGAACAAATTACCAGTATTATTGCATTGCTTTAGATCCAGATTCCGGAAAGTGAGTTTATCATAAAAGTACCCGACTTCCATCAATTGCAATTTTTAGAGAAGTTAGAGCGGAAATTCGAGATGATTCCCAACGACTGTATCCCTTGAGGAGTGGAGAGTTCAGGTTATACATGTTGACGATTGAAGGGTCTGTTCATTCGGATACTAGTTCTGGAAGACACAGAAGAAAAAATAAGGGAGGATCATCAAATGGAAGCAGTAGTTCCAGAGATTATCTAAGAGCAGCTCGTGATTATGATAATCAAAGCGAGTCTCATGCTGTTTTGAGTCGTTATTTTACGTTTATTCTTTCAGCGCCTTTCACAGATGACGAATCTCAAGTATCTGAAACTCCTGTTTACGTGAAAAAGGCTAACGCATTCAATCGAAGGCAAGCTTCCCAAGCCTACGGTAATGATTACTTAGCCATTCTAAACTCTCATGCTAATAGTATTCAGATCAATATCAACCTCGTCACATGCTTCATGCGCGTCACCATCAAAACCATTACGAAGATTCCACGTTTGATGTGACTTCAGAATCGGAAAGTCAATTCCGCAGTGGAGCTCTATATGATGAAGACGTAGACGATGCTCAATCCATCAATACTGATTTGACGTCGGTTTCACAAGTGCAACTGAAAAAGAGATGGCGTCAACAACAGAAAGAAATGAGGAACAAGTGGAAACGAATGCCGTCAATGTCTACTGCCTCGTCTTCATTGTCCAGCATTACAGGTAAGACTAAGTCCCTTTCCTATTGATTCCTAAATGGATAGATAAGATATAAGCTAGTTTCAGAATCTTCAATGGGTCTCGAAGTGATCACTGTTCGTCTGAATCTTCAATCAATGCCCCTAGGAATGATCCCATACGGTCTCAAGACTGCAAGAGGCGGAGACGCAGGATTATATGTTGGAGACATCCTTGGTCGAGGAGCTGTAGCTTTAGATGGAAGAATTGAAGTTGGAGACATGATATCTGAAATCAATGAAATTGATTTGTCCAACTATTCGAACGAAGCAGCAGCTCAATTGTTGAAAGATGCCGTTGCTCCGCGACAATTCGTCACACTGACCATTGCGAAGTCGCTTGATTCTAGAAAAGCAGCTGCGGCAGCTTCCGCAAGGAATACACGTAACGAGCCAATCCGTCCAATTGATACAAACGAATGGATAAAGCACGCGAATGCGATGAAGGGTATGCCTAGTATATCAGAAGGTGAGTTGTCAACATTTTGTCTTTTTTAAGAAATAAACGTTTTAATTTCAGAAAGTTGTTCCACCCCGATTCCTGACGATTGGCCAACGAACAGCTCAGCGAGTGGAACACCTTTTGGTGGGCCTCATCCAGCTATCGCTCACATGACAACGGAAACTAACAAAAAAAGGATAATGGAAATTTTGGCAGCTCCCGGATCTGGTCTAGAAATTAAAGATCGTGAATGGATGAAATTGCCTCTGAAAATGTGTTTTTTGGGAAAGGATCTGGTGAATTGGTTGCTCGATCATGTCGAAGGACTCCGTAAACATAAAGAGGCGAAACAGTTTGCTAAAGAAATGTGGAAACTTGGTTACATTGTGGACGCTCTCGGCCAGAACGTATTCTCCGAAAATTGTTACTACAAAATGGGAGAAGAGTGTGCTGGTATGGCGTTCAGGTTATCGTTTAGTTTATCATATCCATTTTAGATTACACCCAACTTCGTGCACCTGATGGAGGGTTCAAATATGCTCAAAGCCACACGTCATCTGCATCTGGCCACAGTAGCAACAATAATATTTTTCCTCCATCCATGTACCCTCCTCAAATGAAACCGATGCCGTCCACTGCTGGTCTCAATGCTCATCACCGAAATTCGGCTGTTTTGAATTCAATGGTCAGTGGATACGCATCAATGCCGTCATCACCATTTCCTAATGTGAAACCATCTGCTGTTGATTGCGGCAGAACACGAGATGACGTACGCAGCCAAACAAGTGGAAGCAGCCAAGGAAGCTCACGAAGGTGAGAAAAATATTCAATTATTGCTAATAAATCTCAATTTTAGGTATGTCGAACTTCCTCGCAAGCCATCTTCTCTAGGAAGCGGATCGGGGATAAGCGATCAGATGAACATTGATCGTGTCGCTTCAAGAAGTTCGTTTCGAGCGGCGATGAGTGGAAGTCTCCGTCATTTCAGCATTGACTAATATATTTTTTAATAAATAATCTCTAATATCATCTAAATAGATTCTATGTATTCATTTTTTCTCAGCGGAATAATTTTTTTTCACTTATTTCATCCATCATATTTCTCTCTTCGAATTTCAACATACTGCCCATACTTTTATCTCCGAATTTTCTGTCATTTTGCATTTTTTTTTCTTCATGTTCAATACAATCTTCCTATCGAATTTTAATACATAAACGTTCTGTTAAATAACACGTGAACCATGTCGGTGAACAGCGCACTAACGACACATGCGCTGAGGTCACCTCAAAATGCCATCAAGGCGCTCCAACACGACCATCAAGTGTCCGGAATGCCGTTAACCGTACAATCTGTTGGAAAAGAGCTCTGCTTCTGGTGTGTTGAAGGCAAGATTCTATATTCTTGTTTTTCAAAATTCGAATTCTCGCGAATTTCAGCTTTTCGGGGATGTCCGATTCACGAAAATTCAAAAGTATTCTGGAATGACACAAGTGTGAAAAGCTATACAGACGAAAGCGATGGATTCCGAATTGTAAACGAGAAAGAGCTTATAAATTTGGAAAAGTCAGTACAGTGTAAGACTTATTTGCGAGTCTCTCGGTTTTCAGTTCGTCAAAAAAAATTATAGACACATCTAGCGGAAAGTTTCTTCTCCCAGCAAACAGTTCATCTCTTCCGGTTTCTTCAGTTTTTCACTTTGAAAAAGTCAAAGAAATTCCAGCACCACATGAATTGAAAGAAGTTCCGGAAACTATTCCAAAGAAAAAAAAGGTTCGTAATATGAGCTTTCACTAATTACTTTAATTAAATAAACTTTTCAGTACAATAAAAAGGAAGTTTGCAAAAAACCAAAACAACCGAAAGAAGTTGAAGACCCTGACGTCCCGAGAAAGAAACGCACCTACAACAAAGCTCCAAAAAATGTAAGACAGCGAAAAAACCTAAAATTTCAATTCAATTGATTTAATAGGGCATCAAAGCGATTCCGGTGGAAGGTGCAAAAGGGAAAAAGGAAAAATCTCAGAAACTGGTTAGTTTAAAAATAACTAAACATCAAAACTGTTCAAGTTTTCCAGTTTGTATGTGAAATTTGTGAATTCGCATGCACTGTCCGACGCAATCTCGAATCTCATTTTGTAGAATTTCATGGAAGACCTAAATGCGAGTTTTGAAAAGATAGAGCCAACTGATATATTTGTTAATTTCAGATGTCTCAGAGGTAGATGTCATTCAATACGACAATAGAGAGAGGTGATGGAGATGTTCCGCGAGCAGTTGAATATAAATAGTTTTTTGTTAATTATGTCCTTTATTTAATAAACTAATAAAATTACATAAAATTGTATTCTGATATAAAACAATTGGGACTGTGGAAGAGGGACAGCTGTGGCCGAAAGTCCCACAACGACAACTACAGCAATCTGAAATTGTCTTATTTTCATGATTTTTTTTCTCATTTTTAACGAAAAACTCGAACTAGAATATTAATATAGAAAATAACCTTATTTTTAGGTTACGGTAGTAGGCATTGTGGGACCTTCAGCCACGGCCATTGGCGTTTCTCTTCCCTACGTTCAATCTTTTGTACCAGGATAATAGGAAGACCAATCTTATGCTAGTAGTTGAGTTACTGTAGATAGCATAGAGGAGGTTCCAGATTACTTTTTTTTCATTTCGAATCCCGTATTCAGCATTCCGGAGAAATTAATTTTATTCCGAAAATCTCTGGTAGAGACACTGCCAATGTAATACTTTTTAATAATCTGAACTTGCAAGTCAATAAAATATTTGAACTATTCTGCAAGGCATTCCTTGACAAGAAAACCTAAAGAATAAATCACAAATTATAGTCAAATAGACTTCTGAAAAATGACAAAAAGTACAAACGAAGTAAGTACAAAACTCCGAGACGAGGGGGACCCCAGGGGAAGGATTCAGCAAAGTGCAAACGAGAATTTGGTTTGCACTCTTTAGCTAGAAAGTCTGGATAATATGCACTTATATAAGAATCGACTATAGTAAATTTCGTCATTATTCTGAAAAACGGAAACTCCGAAATTGAGTCGATATAGGCGTCCAAAAACGTTTAAAAAATGTATTCTTATCGAACTACCGTAATCCTTTTCTTTCCTTTCACAGACCTTGAGAATAGTGTTTTCTCGTTATCACCTCCCAAAGGTAATCAGTGTAGCCATCTCCTCGTTTGTCTATTATCATTCCGATCTCTCGAAACTTAACCCATCGGATTCTTGTTGTTCTCTTCACGGCGCCCATTTCCCCCGGCCGGTTATCGGCTCCATGGCAACAGCTCCTTCTTCTTCTTTTTTCTCCCCTTCTTTCGCCTCCCATCATCTACTTTTGTTATTCAGCTTTGGGCACTCGGCGCCCGCCGCCCGCCACATATACACTTTTCTGCTCTCTGTCTCTTTTTGCGCCCCGTTCTGCTTCGCTGAATTATCAGGCAAATCTCACGAACACAGGTGGTCTGCTGATTTTTCTTCTTCTTCTTCTTTCAGCATAAAGATTAGGAATATGGAATAGAAACTAAGACCTAATAGGAACTACAGTAATCCTCTGGCCTTTTCTGAATGTGTGGTCCACTAGATTATTGAAATTAGGATTAAGATTGCTTGAAGTTACATGCGTTTCCAATTTTTAGATCCCCTTTTTGTTCATTCTTGGTTCTTTGTGTTCTTGTCTAATTTCGAACTGTTTGATTCCAGCTGGCAATGGATTTCGAACTAAAAAACCCTGAGTTCGTGCCATTCCAATATCGACGTCGTCCTAGAGCTTATCTGACTAAAAAGAAGAGACTGCAGCTGATTATTCGGGGAATCATCGCACGAAAGAGTCTTCTCATGACGGAAATTGATAGGCCAATAGAGAAAAAGAATGAAAACAGCAGACCAGTGAGTAGTTGTTCTATTCTCTTCAATTATAATTGTTTTCAGAACGCCAATAACTTGAAGTACAAGATATGGGATGGTGTCCTTCCCCCGCCAGGAGTTGTAAGCTCAAACTTCTATCTCTCTCCTACTTTTTCCTTCTTTCGCTTTCTCTTTCGATCGCAGTTTTAATGTATAGAACCTTCCAGTACGTTTGCTCTGCATGTAATTCAAATCAAAAGACAGCATACCAGTTCTGTGAGCACATGGCAATTCATCATAGGTATGTTTTCTGGGGTCTATTATAATTGTATTCTAGAGGATTTTCATAATTGTTTAGGACAGATGTATGTATATGAAGTATATTGTTCATAACTGAACGAATTGTTATTGTAAACAGTTTCTTGTTTTCTAAGCTAGACTTAAAAAAAGAGAATACAAAACAATAGTTGGGACCAGAGATGTCAGGAATGACATTTTTGAAAATCCGGAATACGGAATAAAATAACTTTATCAGAATACACAATACAGAACCCGGACAAATAAAAATTCACAGAACCCGGAAAACGGAACACGGAATCCTGAATTTGGAACCCGAAGTAAATAAATTATCTCGGAATCCGGAATTCAGGGATTCAGAGTTTGGAGATCGACATTCGGAATGAAAAAAACACGGAACCTAAGACACAGAATCCGGAATAGGAATCCGGAAAATTACTCGAACAGAGTTCCACACGAGCTTTCAACTTTGAGCCCACATATCTCATTCCCTGTAAGAGATATTTATAAAAAGTTAATAATCAAAACATTGGCGATATTATGATTAACGTTTTAACAGTTGACTAATTTTCGATATCTTTCACAAGAATCAAGATAATTGAGCTCAACGTTGAAAGTTTCGGCTAGATTTGCATTAGAGTGTTTACAGTAATCCGGAAAGAACGAAAAATAATAAAATGTAAATTTTCCATCTCTTATTATATTTCAGTGATCCCAACGATCGTGTGTGGAAGTGTGTCTACTGTAATACTTCATTTGGAAGACGTGGAGGTCTCCGAAGACATGTTCAGATGGTTCATATGCAGATGATGCACAAATGCCCTATTGAAAATTGTTCACACCCTGGATACAAGTGCACAAAGGTTTGGAGAATATCAGAGAAATTTAAAAAATAAGGATTTTAAGGCTCTCAATGCTCATGTCCGAACGCACACTCGACCATTCACCTGTGATCGTTGTGATGCAGCATTTGCCAGAAAAAATGATCTTCAAGTTCATCAATTCACCCATTTCCTATAATTTACCTTGTGATTATTGAACCTCATATCCTATTCTTTGCGATAAAATGAAACTTTGATTCCCCAAAGTCCAATGAAACTGACTAAAAGGACAAGAAAATATGGGGTGTGCTTCCGGAAAAGTGTCAAGCGGGCAATGCAAACGTAGACAAGCTTACGTAAATAACTGGGTGATATAAAAGAGAATGGTTCGACAAATGAAACATACAACTTTCTAGAATGAACAAAGTCATTTACTCTACATTTGCCATTCTGGCTATCATTGCCATTTCACAGGTAGTCGATTTGAAAGTTACAGTAACCCTATTTGTCATTTGAAGGTTCAATCAGCAGTCTTGCCAATTTCATCGAAAGAAGTTGCACTTGTAACATCTTCACCTTCTTCTTCTTCATCTGAAACTTCAATTGATACATTGGGATCATCAAGAGTCAAGAGACAAGGAGGAGGATGTGGTTGCTGTGGGTGTGGGTGTGGATGTGGATGTTGTGGATGTGGAGGAGGAGGTGGAGGATGTGGATGTTGCTGTTGTAGACCAAGGTGAGCTCTTCACTTCAAGAATCTTAAATATGGATCTACTCTAGATGCTGCTGTCGTCGTTGCTGTACCTGCTGCCGTACTTGCTGCTGTACTAGATGTTGTACTTGTTGCCGTCCATGTTGCTGTGGATGTGGATGTGGATGCTGTGGATGCGGAGGAGGAGGGGGACGTAAACGTCGTTCTCTCCAGAATCTTCGTATTGCTTTGGCTAACAAGATCGAAGGAATCGCTAAAGTTGTGAAAGGATCTGATGTTCCAGCATTGGCACCATTCAATGATGCTCCAACTACTGTTCAGGAAAAGAAAGATGTCATCAATTGAGAATTATTCTTTCTAAAAACTAACTTTATTTTAAATTATGTCAATAATAAATTTCATTTTTTCTGCTCTAGACCAGCATTTTTTGAAGCTTACTGGTAAACCGGTCATTCTATTTAGAACTAATATTTTTGGGATATATAAAATATGATAGGGCTCGACGAGATCTTCAAAATAATACTGTTCGGAAAACTGTACCTTGTCAAAAAACAAATTTACAGACAAAATGGGCCGAAAAAACAGGCAGAGCCCGGCCCTGCACGGATCCGCCACTTTATGACTTACCGTTAAACCTGTACTAGAAGAAGCCGGCCAATTCTTTGTTTCAATGTTCCTCCGGAGGGCCCTTCTATTACAGGGGCCCTTCAATTAGAGGATGCCCTTCTATTTTTCCCGCCATTTTTCCGGAAATTTTTCATCGAAAAATTCTACGAATTTTTGTTTCAAATTCATAAAAATATGTCAATTTCACCAAAATTGAGCAAGTTTTCTATAAAAAAATAGTGTTTCAAAAAAATTTCTTCTTAATTGTGGAATTCCTGAAATTTTGAAGCTTCTATTGCGGGGGTCTTTCTATTACAGGGGTCCTTCTATTTTTTCAAGCCCCTCTGGGAGGGCCCTTCTATTAGAGTCCAAAAATTTTAGTTCTAAAGAAAACGATAGCAGGCCTCGTGAAGGCCTTCGAAGGCACGGTTTACAAGTATTCTTCAGACGTTGATTTTTCCCGCGGCAACCCATATTTTCAAAGATCTTTTTTATCAGTGCTACGTGGATCGGGTATAAAAGAAGAGGGTAACAGAGAATACAATAAGTTTCAAATCCGCCTGTTTCGTTAGCTTTGAGCTTTTGTTTTATAGTTCGATGTAAGTTTCCGATTGTTTTAGGTGTAATCCCATTTTTTTTTTGCAGACGGATTCCGGAAAATGAAGAAACTCATAACTAGTAAAGCTTCTCAAAACAACAGCAAACCGAAGGAGATGGCAAAAGGATCGAGGAAACCGAAACCACGTGGATTGGACGATAAAGAAGAGCAATCAACAGCCAAGTCTTCTAGAAATACGAAGCGTACAAAGAAGAAGAATCCGGTTCAGTCGCCAGCAATCTCCCCCGGACCAAAGTCTCAGGTGCAACCGAAGAAAGACAAGAACGATGTGAGTATTGCTGAGGATGAGATGATACCCGGATCAGCCATCTCCACCATAAGCACTGTTTCAACTGTTTCAACTGCTGGAGTCATGGATCTTCCCCCACAGACTCCGCCGAAGAAAGAGGTAGTTGCATCGACTCGTAAGACCAAAGCAGTACACAGTGACCAGCCGTGTCAATCGAATAAGAATGGACATACTCCTACGGAGAAATGGGTCGGAGAAGCTGCAGCGAAATCATGGATGGATAAGGCTGGTAGGTTGTTCAGATGAATTCAAAAATGAATATAAAATATTTTAGATTTTGCCAAAGTGAAAGCTGACTTCGAAAAGATTCAATCAGTTTCTGTGAACATCGAAAAGGATTGTAAGAAGTGGAAATCACACTCCAAATTGAACCAATCCGAAGACTATCCAGCATTGGATGCAAATCTGGTGAAGGTAGAAAACGAATATGTGAACATGAGTCAAATAGATGTTCCCCTTGGACGAGGTGTTCTCGTTGGACAACTTCCAGTCAAAAATTCGGAAGAATCCTTTTGGAAAGCTGTCTTCGAGAAACACGTAGCCCACATTCTTGTCATCATTGGTTCTGAAAGTTACGACTTTTTCCCACACAAAGTTGAAGACTACCGTAACTATGGTCAGATGTGGGTCAACAATAGACGAGTGGAACAACTGAATGATGATATCTGCCGTTACATGATTGAAGTCTTGCCACATGGATGTTCCAATTCGATTGTTTGCAATCTGACAGTTATCAAAAACTGGAACATCGACAGTGTTCATGCCAAATATTCGGTTGTCATCAAAGAGACAATTGAGTTGACCACTTTTTTGTCGCAAGCGGTGAGCTATTGTTTTTTTTATTCGACTAAATTATTTATTTCAGGCAAGTGAAGAAACTGCATTGATCATTTCCCATCATGGTGCTGGTCGTGCTGGATTCTTCCTTTCTCTTTCTGTTGCTGTCAACAAATTGGAATCGAATACTGAGCCTTACATCGCGGACATCGTCAAAAAGATTCGTGATCAACGTCCGAAAGCAGTGGAGACACTGACTCAATACGCTTCCCTGTACATCTCGTTGTTCTATTTCATCAAAGTAACATCATTTGCATTTTGTTGTAATTGCACTTTTGAGATTTTTCAGAAAAAAGTTGTGAAAGTGGACGGTGATAAGAAAGCATCTCCATCTGATCCTTTGGGAAAGAAATCAGTTGAGTTGACACAAAGTTTCACGAACTCTTTGATTGCCGAAGCAACGCAACCAAGTCTTATGAGATCAGCAATGACGGATGCCTCGATTGCTGGATCCACTGTAATGAGTTCAGCCATTTCCGGACAGAAATGAAATGACAGAATCAAAAGAATGTGAACATCTAGGAATTTTCTGAATAAAGCATTTATTTTTTTCTCTTGTTTTTCAATAACAAAGTTTCAATAACAAAGTTTTTCAATAATTTTTCTTTACAATAACATTTTTTTGAAAAAACTTTGGCTCTTTATAATTATACCGATCCCTGGAGATTATTTTTGAAAATTGCGCTACGATTTCAAAAAAAAATAATTTTTATAGCTTTGAAGTCTCCTGGGGATATCCAGGCTGAAAATCTGAATGTTTCCGGTGAACTGATTTTTTTTTAATATTCTGAAACTCCGACTTTCAGAAGTTTAGTAGAGTTTAGGAGAGTTTTAGGAGAGTTCCTAGGATTTTCTGGAATTTCAGAGTTTTCGACTATTATGATTTTTTGGAACTTCTGATTCCCTGGATAGTTTTCGAACTCGATTTCAAAAATTGAAAACATTTTCGGATACTTTCCTTTTTGAATGGGAGAGTTGTGGATTACTGTAGCTGTCAGATTATTCAGAATTGAATGAATGAGGATTACTGCAGTTTTCGAATTTATTTTTCAAAATTGAACAAATGAGGATTACTGTAGTTTTCTGACATAATTTGGAAATTTGAATAAAACAGTAGTTTTCGGATTCTTTTTTTATTGAAAAAAAAAGGATTATTGTAGTTTTCGGATTAATTTTTCAAAGTCGAAAAAAATTAGGATTACTGTAGTTTTTAGATTATTTTTTTTAACATGGGGATTACTGTTGTTTCGAATTTTAAAAATAGAACAAATGAGGATTACTGTAGATTTCGGATTCTTTTTTTTTAATTGGAAAATTGAGGGTTACTGTAGTTTTTAGATTTATTTTTTAAAAATTGAATGAATGAGTATTATTGTAGTTCTCGAATTATATTTTCGAAATCAAAAACATGAAATCGAAAACATTTATTGTAGTTTTCGGATTCTTTTTTTGAATTCGAGAACTTTGGACTACTGTAGTTTTCAATTTTCAAAATAGAAAACAATGAGGATTACTGTTGCGGAAGGAACGGCTCTGCCATTTATTCCTCAACTTAAAGTAAATATACATTCGGTATTATTCAATGTGTCAACCACGGTGGCTCAATCATCTTATCTTATCTACGATCTGATCAATCGTCGCTATATAAGCTGAAGAAACCAACGACAAGATGTCTACATTCGTTCCATTCCAATCGGTTCAAGTCTACGAAGATCGGCTCAATGGCAGCTCACCAAAGGAAAGAAAAGGATGGATACGGATGGGACCACGAGGACAACTCGGAAGAAGATTATGCTCCATTCGGGAGTCAGCCGATAACTCTTTTGTATTTAATAAATTAGTTAAAGGTGGGGGGACATGAAAAAATTATTTTCTCGAAATTCCGTTTACATACGCCCCTCGAGGAGTTGAACTTGTGAGGGCGAGGATTGAGGGTGCGGCGCCGCTACCGACTGAGCTACACGGGCAAGGTGAAAGCGGCCGTCGAATTGCATACATAAAGGCGAGGACGACAGCTGTACGCAGAGTGACATTAAGCGTTGTACACCGTCACGGTAGAATGCATACTCTGGCCCCGAAAATCCCCCGTAAAATCTCCTGTCCCCCCACCTTTAAAATTAAACGGCTTAATGTTGTTCTCAACTGATACTAGATAATTTAATGCTCTCTTGCTCATCCGTACGGTTAGGGGCTCACCACCCAATATGCCGTCACGACAATTACTGTAGTTTTTGGATTAAAAAACAATTGAAAAGTTATGGATTACTGTAGTTTTTAATTTTTTATCGAAATAAAAAAAGGATTACTGCAGTTTTCGGATTCACGTTTCAGAATCGAAAAATTAGTATTACTGTATTATTACTGTATTCATTTTTCAAAATTAAGAAAACGAGGATTACTGTAGTTTTTGGATTGTTTTTTTTTTGGAATTAAATGAATCAGGATTACTGTAGTTTTGGATTCATTTCTTTCGGATTCATTTTTTGTATTTCCTGAAATGAATCCGAAAAAAAAGAAAATCAGCTCGCATTATAAAAAATAACTGTATTCTCTAAATCAGCACTAAAATAGAATTTTATTTAGCTGCTTCCTCTCCTTTCTCCTTTGACAATTTCTTCATGGTCATCCCTTCTGGATTCGGTGACATCAATGAAGTTCCCTGAAAATTATAATTTCAAAACAAAAAAGAATCAAAAAGACATCATCATACATCAGATTCGTAACTGGGTCCTTCTCTTTTCCTTACTGATGGTGCATCTTCAATTGTATCGTCACTGTTTTCATTGACTTCTCCTGGCTTCAAAGCATTCCGACGACGATGAGCAGAAGATTCAGCAATAGCTGGTTTCGTTGGTTCCGCTTTACTCTCTTGCACAGTAGTCGTTGATTGTGTTTTGGCGGTTTTCTTCATTTCGTTCTTTTCATCATCAACGTACTCAGATGCTGGCTTAGGAGTTGATACCTTTGTATACGGTACCTTTCTCTCTAAATTCAAATAAGTTAGACTAATTTTGAACTTCATCTAACCATCAACAAGTGCTTCCGAAAAAATGGGTGATATTATTTTGTTCTGACTTCTCTCTACCAATTTCTTTGGCATTTTTCCCTTTTTCTTTGTTTCTGGTGAACCTTTTGGAGATTGTTTCTCATCTTTAGTCGGAGTTTTTGCAGTAGCTGTTTTTTCTCTGAAAATTACAGAAAGTTTGACAAATCTGGACTAGCAGAATACATATTAAGAAGTGTCGATTTCTTAGCCTTTTGTTTTGATTTTCCTTTGGCATGTTGTTTCCCTTTTTTAGATGACGTCTTCTTTTTTGAAATATTCTTCTTCATTTGAGATTGAGTAATATCTTTCTGAAATTAATTCCAGATTTTCTCATTTCAAAAACTATTGTAAAACTTACAGATTTTTGTTCATGTTTTTTGTTTTTTGGAGTTCTTTTAGTGTTAGATTTAGATGTACATTTCACAAGAAGTGCGATAGTTATAGTGATGAAAACTGTTAGAAAAAACATTTTTCTGGAACATAAAGAGTTCGAAATTTCACAAGGATGTAGGCGTAAACTCACATATAAAGTTTGAAGAATGTCAACGACTTACATACGTGCCTACTTTTTTCTGGGAGAAGAATGAAGAAACGTAACACGTTGCTATTGACCTGGTATGCAAAAATCTGAGCCGTGGAAGGGAACTTTGTGGGCGTGGCCAATGGTCATCGTAACAAAAACTACCGTAATCTAAAATTTTCGGTTTTTTTTCTCCAATACTAATGCTCTCCGACAATTTTTTGTGTTGAAAACCTCCAAACAAAAAAAAACTGGAAAAAAAAACGGACGAAAATCGATTTTTAAAATTTTAAAACGATTTTAAAATGAGTCAAGTTTATTCTAATTCGAATTCATTTTAAACTATAATAGAATATACCGAAATTACAATACTCTTTCCGAAATTCTTAAATTTTTTAGAAATGGAATTCATAGAAGTTATCTTCCGAACTTCTCAATTTTCAAATTTCCAAAAACATATTTCTGAGATTCTGATTCACAAAAATTCTGACTTTTGAATCTGTGAATGCCTGAACCACCGAATTTTCTGACACTATATTCTCGAAACATGGGTTTTTGAAGCTTGGAATTTCCGAATATCCAAATTCGAAGTTTTCCGAACATCTAAATTTCCGAAGTTCTCGAAAACTTTTGAGATTCTAATTCACAAAATTTCAAATTTCTGAATTTTCGAATTTTGAAATCTTCGAGTTTTTGAACTTCAATTTCTCAAACTCTAGATTTCCGAGGTTCTCATTTAAATACCGAAATTCTGAATTGCTCATATTCTGAATTTTCAAACTTTTGAGTTTCCGGATTTCAGAACTTTACAATTTGAGAATGGAGGAAATTGAGAAGTTGAAAATCTTCGAACTTCCGTATTTCGGAAATTTCAAGTATCCGAACTCGAAAATACTCACATTTTTAATTTAGAAAACTTCAGAATTCCCGAGTTTCTAGAGATTTTCAATTTTCTTTGAAATACCGTAAACCCTGTAATAAAAGAGCCCCCTAGCGTTCAACTTTGACCCAATTTTTCTCTGTTCCTGTCAAAGATGTAAAAAAGTTGTCAACTGATAAATTGTTTATCATAATATCAGAAGTGTTTTGTTAACTGACACATTTTGGATATTTTGCATAACAATTGAGATAATTGAGCTCAAGCTTGACAGTGTGGGGGCCCGTCTAATACAGGTTAATCTTCCACTCCTCCGTTGAATGCTTCTTCTTATTCATTCCGTATTATAAAACTCTATTACTATTTCGCAACTTCCCTCATCCTTTTCTTCAATTTCCCTTTTTCCCTCTTTTTGCTCGTTGAAACACTTTCATTTGGTTACCAAGGAGACTCCCCCCTTTTCCCCCCCCCCCCCCCTCGTTTAGATGCAGTAAAAACTCTCTCTTCTCCTTTTCTACCCTCCTCCCCCTTCTTCTTCTTCTTCTTTTTCGTCCACACGCAAACGTAATCGTATGTATCTCGTCGACATAATCCTAAAAGAAGCAGCTTCTAGGCTTATGCTCATCCGATAATATTATGCGATTATTACTACTTTCCCTCTTTTTCTTTTTGCTTGTTCTTCTTTGTTCTTCTCAACAACTTCGATGTTATCATTGTATCAGTCGTCTCACGACTTCAGATATGACTACAGATGAAAGGAATGCACTGAAGACGGCTCTTTTTACAAGGTCAGTTTCAATAGTGGATGATATCACAAGATTCGTGAACACTCTAACTCAAATTTGAGCCAATTTATCTAGTTCCTGTCAAAGATATGAAAAAGTTGTCAACTGATTAAATATTTTTGAAAGTATGATTCTTTCACAGGAAATGAGATATAAGGGCTCAAAGTTGACGGTGGCGTTCTATTAGTGGCTCTCCTATTTTCAACTTGCAGATTCAACATTCCTCCATCGAATGAATATTGTCAAGTTGGTGGAAGTGATCTTCAATTTAGAATTGTCCCAAAAGAAATTTGCCCTAAAATCAACGACACCTGCGTTAGAATCACTTCAGAAGGTTCGCTTATTCTTCTCGATATGTTTTTTAAAACCTTTTTCGAAATACCGTAAACACTCTAATAGAACGCTACCCAAAACGTCAACTTTGATCCAATGTAT